TCGTTCGTTATAACATCACCTAATTATTACTGCGAGGGATACGAACGTGTGAGTTAATTGGCATTTATTTTTATTTTTACGCATGCATCCCATTTAAATAAATGTTATAAAGAATTGACATGTAAAGTTACAAAAATACGAGGATTAAATTATTTTTATTTATTAAATTGAAAGGTACACAAAAGTAGATTAATCATCTCCCCTCCCTTATCCTACTCCCGTAGGGTCGACACACCGGGTTTTTGTCCTCCAAAGCACTCTATCATCCGTCATCTCAGTCATCACTCCCTTCTTGATCATGTCACTTTTCACGCAATCCATCCATCTCTTTCTACCTCTACCTCTACCGCTGTACCCCTCCACATTCATAACTAACGTCCGTCTTGTTACATGCGATTCATCCCTTCTCATAACATGCCCATACCACTCTAACCTTTTACTCCTTATTTTCTCAACAACTAAAGAAAAACCACATAAGTAGATTATAGTTTTAATAAGTTAACATGGTGTATAGTATAACGTTAACAGTTTAAAATTTGTAAAAAATATAAATGTACATATTTTCCACGCTATATTAAAGAAAATGAGATGGATGATATACGAGTAAAAAGTCATAATAGATTTTCATATAAAGTGTTTTGAAATATCTCACCATAAGACTTTACTGCTAAAGCAATTGTACAACAAAATGCTATCTCTATTATTTAAAAGTGTATGACAGAGATGACAATATAAATGTTACTTCAAAAACCGCGCTTTTATTAAGACTAATAATGCAACATTTTGATACCACTCAGTGGTTGAACGTTTAATTGAATGAAACCATAGCGATATTTCCTATTAGTTCTAGAAACTCTAGTAATTCTCTTTCTACATTCAATTTTAATTTATAATACTCAGGGTATCGCATATTTCCAGTATGTAGTACTCATATGATGGAGTATTTTCCTCTTAACTTCCTTATTATTTCATTTGCCGCTATTAGTAACTCTTGTTTTTGTTTTATTATTCCTTAATAAAATTATAAATGAAAAAGTTTAGATAAATGGGATTATTCCCAGCCGTCACCACGCTCTGTCCCCACGTAGAGACAGAAGAGAATAAAAAGTTTCATCCGTCCCACCTTTTGCGACGAGGTGGCGGTTGGAATTTATTTTATTTCATAACAGTTCCATCTGTCACCTTATTGGTGATAGTGGGACTAAAAGGTGGGACGGGTGAAATTTTTTATTCTCACGTGGGGACAGAGCAGTGTGACGGTTGTGAATAATCCGATGAACGGATGTTTGTTAGAATTTGTAGCCTAAACGGATTAACGGATCTTGATTATTTTGGCATAGATGTATAGGCCTAGGCTGGAAGAACACATAGACACGTGGACGGAATCTGGCAAACTCTAGTTCTCTATATGAATAATTTCAATGTTTGTTAAAATATATTTTGTTTAATATTCAGATATTAAAACAATTATATTTTCGAAGCCAAAAACATTTAAAATTCCTTTATCGACTTAATATCAATTAAGTGCCGGAAAACAGTTTGATGTACTTTATTCCAAATATTTGTACATTATAAAGCGAACGGGAGTATAAATTAAATTGACTTAAAATGTAATTGAAAATTATATTTTGATGCCTTGTAATAATTTAAATATTGTTCAAAATTTTCTATTGTAAACCGCATCGTTTATTTTAATGATTTTCGATAGTAAGCCTTTAATATGGCATTAATTGAAATTTCATGATGATAATTTGTTTTCATTAATTATAATAATTATAAACTACCGGAGTATATTGTTTGATATTTCTATGTACCTTGCGTATATGGTGATCTTACACTTTTGGAGTACAATCACATTTTAAACGGAATATAGTCTTAACAAAAGCACTTTGAACGTAATCTTTCCTGAAAAAAGTCGCGTTACAAAATGTATGTGTTGAAGCGTCATTTTTATCAATATCATTGGACATATTATGTACGTATATCAGAAACTCTATTTATAAAGGCAGTCGTGTAAGGATTATTTTTTCTCAATGATTATTATCAGTTCTTCGAAAGAGGCGGATTAACAATCGCCATTTCTAAATAATTCTGTTAACTTCGCTGGCAACCTTTATTCTACGAATTAATTTCTTAACAGATTTTATCTTACCTCTACAATATGAAATACTCTTCATTATTAATGTACTAATCACCAAATTCTTATATGGTAAAAACCACAAATAACATTTTGTAAAAAAAATATTTTAATTTTGTATGGATGTTGTTTGATCAGATCATATTTTATTAGAAAGTCGTAAAACGGGAAGAGGAAAGTTTCCACTATTTTTATTTTAATGTAAAATATATATTTTTTTCAAATATGCAAAAACCTTTGTTTATTAAATATAAATAATCTGTCATTGTGAATTATGGTTGAATTTCGAACAATGCTCTTAGTTAACTTTACTTAATTAGTAATTAATAAATGTATAAGCATCACTAAAACAGTTCTCATCCATATTCTATAAGTTGACACTAACAGCACTTGAAGAATGGCTCAAGGAAATACGGTCGTAATAAAGTGATTGAATTTAAAATTGCATTTCGATTCCCGCTCCGCTTGCAGCGTAACTTAGTAACAGATAATTTAATTTGTAATCTATTGACCGGCGAATCACACCGAGACATCCATATTCTGGTGAATTTATTACTAAGTTCTTTTTATGCTTAAAAAGATCTTATAGTAAGACTTAAGAAATTCACTAAATTACTATTGAAACTTACTAAACTTATGCCAAATTACTAGAACCATTTCTAATTTCAATTGTTAGTAAAATTTACGATTTTAATGAAACAAAAGGTTCACTGTGTAACACATAATTCTGAGAAAATCCTTATACATTTCACATGTATTCTTTGTGTATAGTTTCTCGCAATGAATTTATTCCCTTTGTTATATGAATAAAGTACTTTCCTTTTATTTTAATGAAATAAATCTTTCACATATTTTAATAATGTACTAACATAAAATCTTTACAACTACTTTAAAACTATCAATAAAAATAAACAATTATAATTTGTTAATATAAACAAAGAATGTATCAATAGATTATGTGATATATGCATGTAGGCAGATAGAAATGTATGAGATAGAGATGTTAATAACTCGTTGGAAATTTCAGCATGAAACTCGTCTTATGCCGGGAATGATGTGTCTGGGAATATCGCGTGAGGAGAACCCTGTGACCCCATGTTTAGCTGTGCCGGGCGCTCCGCTCGTCATCAGCGGTCACCTTGCTGGCTTGCAGTCGTGGGGCTTCGGCTGCGGCTATCAAAACGATCTGCCCTTAGTCTACACAGATATGCGCCATTACCAACCGTATGTATTATGTATTTCCTCGATGAAGATTACGACGTACGCATAGAGTACAGTTTTTACCCTAACCACCCATCTCGCTGATCCAGCATAGCAGCGATATGTCTACATACACACATACTCTTTGGATACTACTCCCAACAGCTTTATTTAGCAATCATTATAATCGACGTTCGTGTAACAAAATTATAACGATATTTGCTTTTGACATGCGTTAATTTCTTATTTACGTCATTTTTTTTTACTTATATGAACTATAGAACTTGTAGTAAATGTAGCTGGAATGAATTAGTAAAGAGGACAGAAATTAGCATCTAAATAGGTAATAATATAAGCATATATTAGCAAAAGAATCTTCTTGGTAGCTCAAAAATTGTATAAAATACAATGCTTATCTGAAAATCTGTCTGTCTTTTTAAGTACCCTGATAGAATAAAACCTCGCGTACTAACCTAAAATATTCTCCCCTCAGATGGATTCTTCACAACGTCCCAATTCTAAGAAATCTAACTCAATACAATTTGACAGAAATGTTTCAAGCAACAAGAGCGTACAGCCTTTCCAAGTGGCTCACCTTGACAAGAGAAAATTTCGAACCTTTGTCTCTTACGTTTGCTGAGAAACCGATAGTACAAAGAAATTTGGATAGAGAGCTGGCAAAGCTAAAAGGAAAGGTCTTTGATATTAGAGATTTTATTTATTCCGGTGAATTACATTTACTGAAAAGTGAAATGTTTGAAAGTATAAGAAATAGTTCCAACCATGAACATAGAAATAGTAGTGTATTTATGTCTATGACTACGAAACCATTTTTAGATATGGACAAATATAATAATGATGAAGATTCTTCCGATTTTGAAGATAGCAAAAACTCTTCGAATAAATTAAATGCAAGTGAGTCTGATACTGATGAATCACAGTATAACGTTGTCAAGTTACAAGAATTTTATGTTTAAATTGTTAATGTAGTTACACGTGACTTTATGTTACATTTCATGTATTTAGAAGCAGAAATTTATATATCTATGCAGCTCTGCTATCTATATAGTTTCATGAATAGTTAATCGATAAGCAATTTAGGATGGTACTTGAAAATAAAACATCAATATATGCTTGATTAATATATTTGGTTTAAATCCATTGGTTAATTTCTACAATATTGGTTATGGTAAAATGAGAGCCGAGTCGTCGTCTTAAGGAGTATTCATTTGACTGAATTACAGAGTGATTATGAGCGACATAACTTTCATGTACTATTTTAACAAAAGGTAATAGACAAAATTTAATAATCGTAATATGACACAAACTTAATGTTAACAAAACAAATTTTTTCAATTAAAATACTTAATTCAGAATTTAGAGTACGAAGAATATATTATTAGTATGTAATTCTAAATTTAAAAATAAACAAAAGGCGTTCAACAGTCTTCCTTTTAAGTGCCAATGGCACAACTTAAATACCTGCAATTCCAAACAATATAAACAAGGAATAATAAAGAAGTTAATAGACATTTATTTCTGTCATCTAATGGAATGTATGCTGACATCGAATATCCTAATGGAATATTGAAACTTCTACCCTAATACCTACTGATTAAGTAATATTGAATTTATGCATCTAATGCCCAAGATCCAAAAAAATCGTAATTCTAAGAACTTATATTAATAATAAAATTTTTATTTCTGCATTAAAATTAAATGAACAATAAATATTTTATTTTCTCATTTCGAATCTGTCCAAATTATTTTTGGACAGATTCGAAATGAGAAGTTGGAAAAAATTCAAATTCGTGAAATCAAATTAAATTTGAATTATCAATATTTCATCTCCAGAAAGTTGTGAAATATATGTTAAAACAAAGACAGATGTTGTAATTAAAAGACAGTTTTACAAAGAACAGCGGGCCTGAGAACTATGGTACTACAGATCTATAAATAAGCAGTAGACTTTGCGAAATTCTACTGGCAAAGATAAGATATACTGGTATTCACCACCGTCTATTAGTTTATCTTTGGTATATTTGAATATAATATAATATCGTTAGGGCTAATATAATTATATGCTCCCTTTTCTAAACGTATATGATCGTTTATACTCAGGGGATAAAGAGGTATGGCGTTTACACACAGCCGTGCATAAGCGAGCGGCGGAACAAGCGCATCTCGCTTGTAGCCACAGCGATCCACTCGTTCTTAGCGGCGTCGAACCAGGTGAGGCCAAGGGTGTACTTGCCATTGATGTTCACGTGCTGGCAGTGGGAGAACCACCAACCTCCCTCGTAGTTACCGGCGCAGTGGGTGTTTGAAATGTCACGGTCGCGATCAATCGTCGAGAACTCCATATGATTTTGGTACTCGAAGGCATCGCTAGCGTTGCCGCTGAAACCACTGACCTCGAGAGCGTAGCCAGAGTCAGCGTTTCCCACGTAGAAGTTTTTGTATTCAGCATACCAGAAGCCTCCATAGATGTCAGTCATATCAATACGCATGGACGAACAGTTGTCCTGGGTAAGACGATGCATAGATTCCAGTCCGATCCAATATTCGGAAGCCGGGTTCCCAAAACCATTGACGTATTCGACGAATTTTCGGTTGAATTCGACACTACCATTATATCGGCGCTGGAGGAGAGTTGTTCCATTCTCACACCAGGTGTCGACGGGAGCGTGACCAGGATGGATCAAGTAATCGCCGGCTTGACCAGATACTCCAGAGCAATCCTTGGGCAGTTGGTTAACAAGGTCTTCGTATTCTCGTTCAACAGGTTGCAGTTCTTTAACTTCGCCCATGATTTCCGGGAGCGAGACATTTGTTTGATTGGCGTCGATATTGTTGGCTTCACTCTGTCATAAAAAAAATTAGGGGTCAAATACTTTTGAAAAAACAAAAACTATTATTGCATTTAATATATACAACGAAAAAGAAACCTTACCTTCAGAATGTGGTCGTTAAGTCGGTAGAAGTGTTGCTTTGATCGGCTCTCCAAAGCAACGATGGAGTCGTTGAGCTTCTTCATCTCGATGCGATCCATCTCGGCGCGGTCAATGGTGTTGCTCACGCTGACAGCAATTGCTTTTACAGATTGGCGCAGGTTTTCCTGATCTTCCTTAAGGTAGGACGACTGAGCGTTGAGCTAGAAAAAAGGAACAATTAAAGTTATAGGAGTTGTAGTATTAAAATATTACCAACAACAATAATTTTTTTAAAATCAATTTAACTTTAGGTTACGTGTAAAATACTCACTTTGGCAAAGTTGACGTCCAGTTTAGAAATTTCTTTGCGAAAGTCTGGGATAGTTTTGTCAACCTTATTCTCGATTCCCTCAACATCTTCGCGGAGTTCCAACATTGAGGAATGAACTTTGTCCAGATCCGTAACTTTTTGGGTGATGTTGATGAGATCGGTGCGCAGAAATTTGCTCTCGACTTCAAGAAAGTCAACTTTAGTAGTGATGAGGTTCCAGTTGGGTTCTTCGTAACGATCGAGACGGCGTTGCACATCGAGTATTTGAGTCTGGAGACTTTGTTGGGACTCGTCAAGTTGTTGTTGGGTGCGCGCCAATCTAGAGATCTGAGTGTGTACCATCTTGTTATTTCCCAACTTTTTGCGCCCTTTCTTGTTGTGACGCAGCTTGTGGTGTGAGTGGCGTATTTCATGGGGGGACAAAACCTCGTTGTCAGAATTCATATCCATCTCTTGCATCTGCTTAGCTTTGATCTGTAACAAGGAATAAAAAATGAACCTTTCCTTTAAGCATTTCATGTAATGCTTGAATATTTACAATATATTGAGTCCAAAAAAGTATTTAGTTTTCGTTTCATCAAATGAACAAGTATGTATTAGTTTAAAGCATAAACTGCTCAGAGAAGTCATATCAACACAAAATTTAATAATAAAATGAACAATATGAAGCTATGCTGTGCTTAATGAAAATGAAACAATCGTTACGGTACTAGTGTGGCTTCAATATTGCAATACGAACAATTCACTGTTCGGTTACAAAGTCGTGGCAAAGGCTAGAAAGTTCAGTGGAAATGAAACAGGAACTAAAAAGGAAGTTCGCGCTGTAATGAACATTGTGACAGGATGTAGAGGGGGAACCGTCATAGCCTTCGGGAATCCTCGCTTACCGATTGCCACGTCCTTGTTAGCTTTCGGAGTAACTACTTATTGTTAATTAATTACATAAAATACAATTAAAATGAACCACGGTAAAAATCTTTATGGATAATAATATCCAAAAATTATACACTTAATACATAAACATTTTGATTTCTTTAAATAACCCCATGAAGCCGAACATATTTTTTATTTAACTAAGAGACTTGGGACACTTTTGCTCTGGCATTAATGTAATCATTGAGCAGCAGATTTCTAACTTAGTCTTAACTTTTTAATTGAAGCAAACGAATATGTCTTAATTATGGGGAAGGATAAGGAACTAAAGAGATTCGCTGCGACAACCTGCTAAGATTTAAGTCTTTGCTTACTTTTGCAAAGATACATTTAATACCTATAAATGGTTAGCATTTACGGTCCGTAATTTATATGAGCTGTAAGCCATCTGCTTGAAACGTTGCTGTTGCAATTATGCCGCCAAGAAACAGGTTTCCCCAGGAGGCTGCGATCCTCAATGCTGTCGCCTTGAGATACGCACAATTTTGATGTTCACAATTTTTTTTAAACAAATTTTAAGACACAAGTTACGCAGCATTATTTAACTTGCTAATATGTATAATAATAATAGAATTTGCCAATAGGGTAATCCTATGCCCAACAGTGAGCAGATAAAGGTTAATGATGAAGACATTAAAATTTGCTAATTTTACTTCCAATAGTTTTTAAATTAACCGTATAATTTGATAATGTGGTACAGACGAGGAATCTTCATTGAAGATTAAAACCTTCACGAGTAGGAAACATGTAATTAGGATGCAGCGGACTTTGATATTCGAAACGCATTCGTGTCACGTCGGGCGCCGGACCAGGTGTGCGCGGGCGCAGAGATGCGAACGTCCCATTGCCTCTCTCTACCTATACATCTTTAATGTATGCATATATTGCGGCAGGTGGTCCCTCGAGTCTGATAAAATATATTTAATGCTTGGTAAGCATTCGCTATCCGGTTTGCAATATGGGTGTCTGGTACTTCTATATATAAAAACCTTGTAAAAGTTTTGTATTAATTGGTATCGACGTTGATATTTTTTAGTATTTACAATTATTACATTCCGTGCACTTTGGTTTACAATGTTAGTTTCCTTTGATTTAAAAAAAAGTTGATTTAGTGTTAATTGAATAAAGATAGCTGTTCCCATGCGACTTCATCCGCACGAAATTATAATAATTTTATTGTTTACGTTTGTCAAATGTCAAAATTATTTAACATGTTCAAATGTCAAATCATAAATGTCAACCTTGCTCTCTTAATGTTGGTAGCTTGTAGTTTATGTTCTGACATAAGGATTTTTATCAATTTATTTACCTCCTAAATTTAATAGTGTGAAAATATATAGCCTAAAGCGTGTCGTAGGTGTAGGGCTTTTTATTAAAGAAAGAATTATTCAAAAATATGCCATGATTACTGACATCTTACGCCACAAAGAAGTGTGTGTTTACGCTTTATTATATTAGTATAGATACAACAGTGTGTAAATAAATTGATACAATAAAAGAATTAAAACAAAATGTACAAGAGAACTTTTCAAAATTAATGTAAAATAATCGGTTCATAAAATAGTGTCTGCAACAAAAGGCAACTGGAGTAAACAATGGAATCTTATCAATTGTACGTTCTCCGAACAAACTTATTTTAAGATTAAGCAAATCACAATGAAGCTGTGAATAGAAAGGAAAATGTACTTCGTTCGCAACACAATGTAAATAAAGTCTTGCCTTAATAATATTGTACTTTATGTACAATAACAAGCAATAATATTAAAATGTTAGTGTCCGTAATAGCTACTTTCTTCCAAACCAATTTAATAACTATATGTGTATAAGCAAACAAATCAAACAGTAATGTTAATATGTATACTATAATGTGTATGAACACATAGTACGATGGAAATCTTTCTCTCTAGAAATATTATCAATTGATTATTATCGAATGGAATACTTTCGAAAGCGTACGCGTCCATGCTGTGTTATTTTATTTTCAGGCGAGTTATTTTAAAGAATAACTGGTCTTTGGTAGCTGTAAGCTCATATGCCGGGAACATCCGCTGCCATTCGAAATTCATCCGCCAGGACCAGACAAAAGAGCCGCGAACACCGAGTACGTATTCACAAGCGTGGAAACCGGACTCAGCGTTCACACTGCAGTTCATACTTTCACACACAGGTAGAATAGTATCACAGTAGAGTAGAGTGCAGTAGTGTTATCGTTTTAACGCTCACGTACACGCAGCACTACTGTACTGTATATAGCTGTCCCACTGTTCTACCCTCTTGTAAAAGTCGTATTACTCTGCGAATCACCAATATGTGACTATTGCAAACGTAAAATATGAAAAACGAAAATAGAAATAGTATGAAAAATTCTCGAATGGTTTAACTGATATGTATAAAATACTGTTATATTTTCGTCTACGTTTCTGTCATAGTAAATGATTGATTTAACACATTTCTCAGTACGTTAAATAAAGCTACCTATGGATAAGTCTAAAGATAAATCTATAGTTAACAACTGCTAGTGTAATCATAGATCAAACTCCACCTGAACATGTTGAAATACTCTCAAATATATTGAAATATGTATTGCAAATCATAAATTATTCCAGCTCGCATATCTCGGCTGCAATAGGAATTGTAGAAATATTTTTCATGAACGATATAACTGCATGTAATAAGATTGCAGTCATTTTGAATGGAGATATTTTTATACTGGTTATTACCGTTCCATGTTCTATGAATGAAATTTCTAACGGATGGGTCGCATCGCCTAGTATCTATATTGCTCAATCTTCTAACTTTACAGACTCGAGTCTCGTTCGCCCGAAGGTGGCAGATGTGAGCTATTTTTAAAATCGTTTTTATTCTACAACGCTTAGTTCCATATTTCACTTTTTTGCGTTTGCCCCCTATACCCGTAATTAGCAGCATGTTTGTGTACAATGTGCAAATGTTTACATTATTTCAAAGTGTATTTTGATGTTTTAAGTGTGACATGTCGTTAGTAGGAAATATGTGATGGTGAATGAAATAAATGCTGAACGAATGGGTGGGCAATTTTTTTTTGTATCGCCCCATCAATAATGGTCGACTTAACAAAGGTTTCTTCATCAATACCGTCCAAAGCAGCTCAATGGACGACGAACCTTTGTGTCGGAACATATCTCGTTTCAAATGCAATTCCAAATTCGCTTTTTGTTGTTAGAAATGTTTAAATATGTCGAAATTTCTGATGTAATTCTTAGAAACTCACGAAGCTATTTAAAATGTCCATTGACTATATTATAAGGAATTGTGAATAAAGACATTCCCTGGAGGGTTTTTTTTTTATTTTAAATAAAAAATAATGATAGTAGTGAGAATTTGAGACCAATTTTTTTGTCTATTCTAATATCGTAGTTACCATGCAGGTACTGAATAAACTAAACTTTATAATACTTTAACATACTGAAGTCTAAAATTAATCTACTGTAGGAATATGTTCTAGAAAATATTAATTATTCCTGTTTATGGTTCATATATTTGTAAACTATTAAGAAAATAAAATAATCACTACATACAGCAATGTATGCTATAAAATAACCGGCGTCGCTTTTCTTAATGTTTTAAATGTTGTTGTTAATAAATAAAATAAACATTATTATATAATGAGAAAATAACATTTAAATATGTAAAATATGTGCTCAAGCTTGCGGTAAATGAGTGACCGATTTATTAATTACTGCCGCAGATCGGATTTCGTTCAATGCATCGTACGGTGTGAGGTCTAAATTTTTTGCCTCGGACAAAAGCCCGGTGCCGATCGGTGTTCCCACAGGCACTCCAAAAGACTTTCTCACGACCTCCCTTCAATGCTCACTTACCCGTTTTACTTTGCCTTGAGCATTTAATACTTAATTAAATTCAGCTAATTCTGGACACACATACACATATATGTGCTGTAATTTAGTATTTGCAGGATAACATTAAGCTAGCGCGTGAACCGCTCAAACATAATTAAACTTGATTAAACTGGAAGCGAAATTATAGTTGGCTATCCGATTCAATTTCTGTTGAGGAGATAACCAACCACTCGTGTTATTGCAATCACGACATACAAATCGAACTACGATTCTCATTAAATAGTATGAACTATACATTAATGTAAGAATTGTTTGCTGAAATTCTCCTACTTTTTAACCGACTTCCAAAACAGAGAAGGTTCTCAATTCTTTTGGTTTGCATGATTTTCTCTATCCCAATGTTTTTTTTTTGTACTTTTGTTACATAATAGTAAGAACAATATTTGACAAAATTGTGCATTATCAAGAGTAACACGAATACATCAGAAATTAAGTTACCAGTAATCGATCTCAATATACTTATCCGCAGTATTTTTTTATATTTTTCTCAATTTTAGTGTATCGAAAGATTGCAATGGCAATCTAAGAACGTAATTTCTAGAGCCAGATGGCATAATTTTTGTAATCCTTTTCATGCATGATAATTAAAATTTCGAATCGATTCCAGGATCCAATATTGATTATGGCTTTAAATTAGCAGTG